ACCGTAATTCAGCCCGTAATTCGCCCAGAATCGGGTTTTTGAGGCAGATTCAAGCCAAAGGAGAGAGGGTCGACTTTTTGGAGCAAAAATAGAGTTTTAGAGAGAGAAAGTGCGAAGAACAAACCCTAGGAGCTATTTGGAGTGGATTTCTCATCATTGAAGCCCATATTGCATCTCTAGGAGTGAAGATTAAATCGTAAACTAAATTTTTTATCTTTAAACGAACGTCAGTGGCCGTATAATTAAATCGTAAACTAATACAATAAAATTATTTAATGGTCTAGTGGGACCTCAAAAATATAAAATTATTACTAAAAATACACCCAACCCATTTAAACTTACCAAACTTAAGTAGTGCCGATTTTGGGCGTTGTGGGGGTGTTGCTTAACTTCCCTACATGTAACCGTACTCCCGAACCCATATCTCTAAATCGCAGACCAAGCCTCGGTTCTGACCCTAAGGTTAGAGCCGATCGATGAGTGTTCGATCCACTCCAAGAAAGATCGAAGGTGACTCCAAAAACCGAACGCGACCCCGACCCCGGAGGGACGGTTGCGACAGATGGTGACTCCGCTGGGACTTCGAGAGTCGAGCTACATTATTAAGTTTGATAATTTCTCTAACCTTCTTTTATATGTTGGGTGTTTACTTCTTATTTGCGTAAATATACTTTCGCAATATTAAATTTTGCATTCATGTATTAAAGCTCTGTAACCGAGCTATCCCTTTAGAGTATCGAAAGGAGTACCGTGACATCCATAGTAGTGGTACCACACAAAACTTACTAACCAAGTTGAAATCGGATCCCAGGATGGTCTCGAGGTATCCAGCCAACTCGAAAGAGTTATGGCAAGATACAACTTGGGAGCCAAATCCCTTGTAATTTCTCTGCCAGCATATAGTAAGCATAGAGGCCTCCGTAAACCGTCCAAAACAATCCCGAAACCACCCTAAAACCATGTCGTTATGCCTCTCGAAATCCCTAGGTCTACCTGAATAGAGTAATGATATAATGATATGTATTTGCTTATCAAAATGTATTGTTTACTTACGATATAATGATATGTGTTTTATCTTTTACTCGTAAAACTATATGATTGTATGAATGAAAAACATTTTCAAAGTTCATAAACATCATTCTATCATAAAATTTTCGTCACTCATTCATAATTGATCATATAAAGATTTAAAAAAACTCGCATGCATCAAGTAAAAATAAACTCGCATTCATACATCATTAACATTTGCATAAGCATCATGCATCATGCATATACATCCATAATAAAAATGAAAAATAATTTGTCAATTTTAAGATGGTTCAGGGTTCCTAAAATCATCCATCCACGTGGAAAGAGCCAAGTCGTTATGTATTTGACAAGATCCAAAGTTGAGCTTGTCATGGATGCATTCCAAAATAAGATGGGCGATGTTGAAGGAAAGTTAGCCGGATTTGATGAAAAGCTATATGGATTCGATCAAAAGCTAGCAGGTGTCGACGAGGTGAGAAATAAACTAAATTTGTTAATAGGAATGATGTCAGAAAAGAAGAAAGAGGTAGCAAGCAATGACGAAGAAATGTCACTTGACAATGATGATAATGGCAAGCCACCTGAGTGGGGAAATTCGGGCAAAAAATTCATCATTATACCCGAGAAGCTTGATAAAGACAACATTGGATCATTGAAATGTGATGACCCGCAAGGGAGACAGAAGTTAGAAGAAACTGTGTTTGATGTCATATCCAAAGAAAGATTTGAACAACTCGACGAACGAATAAGAGCTATAGAAGGAACGGAGTCATACGTTCCCATAGACGCATCGGAACTATGTTTGGTCCCAGATGTGATAATACCTCACAAATTCAAAATGCCAGAATTCGAGAAATACAAAGGTGCTACTTGCCTCAGAAGCCACTGGGTTATGTATTGCAACAAGATGACCAATCATATCCGTGATGAAAAATTGATGATACACTGCTTCCAGAATAGCTTACATGGTTCAGCTGTAAGGTGGTATGTGCAACTCGAAAGGTGAAGAAATGGCAAGATCTGGTTGATGCATTCTTAAGACACTATAAGCATACCAAGATGTAACTCCAGATAGGGAGGATTTGCGTAATATGGAAAAATAAGAGAAAGAATCTTTCCTTGAATACGCCCACAAATGGCAAACAAAAGCCATAGATGTTCCACCTCCTCTATCAGAGAAAGAAATGGTATGAATCTTCTTCGACACACTCAAGCCTCCCTACTACAACAACATGGTAGGAATTACCACTACAAACGGGTTGTGGGACTTACTAGTTTCCCCTTTCTATGTTATCTGAAGTCATTACCAAAAGCAAAAAGGCAATATTTCTGCCAACCAATATCCACAAACAACTTACGTGATAAGAAAACCCATGTAGTCACTACAACTGCACAAAAAGAACTCCTCAATATACCATTTTGGGATGAACCAAGAACTCATTTGCTTACTGCTCATTCTTGTCTCTCAAAATCAAAATTCCAAGAGAAGGGGGCAATACAAGTTATAGATACCCTCTCTGAAAATTGCCAATATATCCAAGAAAAAGGAAGACTTCCTTGATGAGAGAACCCACAAACATGATACGGGTCCCCTATTTCCATCAATTAGCCACATATGTTGGGAGCAAGCCAAAAATTTCCCGAAAAATGTCTTCATCTGACCAAACTCCCTCAAAGATTTTCCTTCTATCTTGTCTCAACCCTGCATTACAAGAAAATAAGATTCCAGAACAAGAAGATCCTCATGACCGAAGTCAAAATCAGCCAACAACAACTTTTCATGAAAAATCATATACCTCCATGACAAGACCGTATGAAGGTCATCTAAATCAATCACACAAAGCTCTCATGTTGAGAAAAACCTTAACCCCAAGCTCATCAGATCATCAACTTAGACGGAAGCATCTTCAGTGACAGGAATCTTAATGGTAGCCGAAGTGTCCTAAACTTAAACATCCATTGGAACGAGAGAAAGCAAAAAAAAAAAAAAAGGTTAATGTCAACAGTGAGAGAATATGGATATTCTCATGGCTTGATTTGCACTCTTCTTGTCGAAACAAAAACAATTTTGAGCATAATGAAAACAAAATTTGTGGCAAAAGTCACATAAAAAATGTATTTGCTCAATTTGCACACACTTCCTTAAACAAGAGCTTCATAATCTAAAAATGAGTTTTCACTATGCTATTTCAACAAGGTTCTTTTCAAACATTGTTGCATTCATCCCAAGTCGAGGATGATAGAATCACTCTGTTCCGGAAAATGGAGAATGAATAACATATCTTTGGGGGCAAAACGGGGGCAACTTAGAAGAAAGTTCAAGCTATTAAGTAATCAGTCTACTCAACTTTTCAACTCCCCAATTTATGAAGAAATTTTGGGAAACTTGAAGACGCTCAAGTTTCATGGGACCAGGTGGTCAACTAAATTATTCGTCAATGACAGCCTCACAAAAAGAAGCACAATATACTCTGTCACCAAGAAAGACAATCTCATAAAATACCCGTGCGACCTACATTGGGCATCAAGAAAGGAAAGACAGCACAATATGATACCGCAGGACTCCTTATATCCCATATTGAACCAATCAAAAGAGTAATTTGAGGAGCCAATCGTGACAAGATATACCTCATCACAAGAAATGCCACCATGGGCAGGCCCCTGGTCAAACAGATTATTACAAACCCTATGCCTAGGAGGTGGGGTTTCCCAGTTAGCATGCATCAAAGCCACAAACTACCCAATATCCTAACCGCTGCACCATAGAGGCGAGCACTCAAGAGCTCACGCTATCGAGTTTCGAGCACAACTAAGGATCAAGTCTTCCAAAGACCATGACGAAATTCCTAGTGGATGATTAATTTAAAGAAACCTAGGACCAACAACAAAAACAATATATTTTTCGCTTAACATTCATACACATTATCATTCGTCATAACATATCATACAATCATTTCTAAAAACATGTCCATCTTTACTTTAGACATGCATCAAAGGTTTCATCAGAAAACAATAATTGCATGTTGACTTATCAAAGTCTACCAAGAACCCAAAAAGTATCGCATCTAATTTCATACTAGAAAACCATAAATACGTCCCCGTGTTGGCAAACGCTATATAAATATGTACCCACGTTGCCGAATGTTATATAAACATGTCCCCACGTTAACGAGCGCTATATAAACACGTCCACGAGTTGGCGAACGCTATATAAATACGTACCAGCGTTGGCGAACGCTATATAAACACGTCCTCGCGTTAACGAGCGCTATATAAACACGTCCTCGCGTTGACGAACGTTATAGAAATACATCCCCCCATTGGCGAATACTAAATAAATAAATAAAAATGTAATTTCTCACGTTGGCAAACGCTATATAAAAATGTAAACCTGCATTTGCAAAACCTATATAAAAATGTAGTTTCTCGCGTTGGCACACGCTATATAAAAATGTAATTTCTAGCATTGGCGAATACTATATAAAAAATATAATTTCTCGCGTTGGCAAACTCTATATAAAAATGTAAACCTGCGTTGTCGAACGCTATATGAAATTTTTTGCGTTGGCGAACGCTATAGAAAAACTTAAACTCGTCGCAATCAACATTCACAATTCAATCACACACAAATACTAGCAGTTCTCGCTACACTCAAGCATCACTCTTTTCGTAATACAATACAATCACCATTAGAGTTTTACAAAATGTGGTGTCTTTATAAGAACTTTGTATAACTCTTTATACAAAGAGATATACAAAGGGGGGCAACTGTAGACACCACATTTTGTCTAGATTTCGACCTCTTGTATATTGAACTTTTTCAGCAATCTATAGTGCGACGTGATTGGAATTATCTGCAAACAACGGTCAAGTTGAGAATTGAGAAGTATCACAGCTTCGGTTTTTGTATTAGAGGATTTGATCAATGAGAAGATTTTTCCAATGTTGGAAGCCAAGGACGAAAAGGATTCGTTCACAAATTTGAAGTCTATTACAAACGTTTAACGACACTACAAAATTTGGATTTGCATACACTACTCAACAATCCCTAATACAATGGGCTAAGTTTTTATTTGTATCCAAACTTGGCCCATCACAAGGAAGCCCAGATCAGCAGCCTGCGAAACAAAGAAGAAATGAAAATCAGCCCAGTTTCAGTCCACAGCTCAAAGACAGATCAAGCCCAGAGCTAGACCCAAATTCAAATCCTTCAAAGCCCATTTCAAGCTCAGTCCAAGTCTAGGTCGGCCCACAAGGCTATAGACTAGTCTGGCCTAACTCGGCATCTTATCCAAACTAGTCTCAGCCAATCTTATCTACGATTTCGACCTTCAAGGAAGGATAGCAGCTTTGTAGAGACAGCCTCAAGGGGAACCAATTACACGATAACACGTGGCACGTTCATTTGGCTATAATAGAGCTCTTTGGGCAATTTTTTCAGGGGGGTTCTGGATGAAAACAAAAGAGAGGGGAAACGCTGTAGAAATAAAGAGCTATAGTAACTTTTTCTAATAACATTCCATTTCGTTCAAGTTTCTTTATTATTGTACTACTACTGATTTCCATAAAATCATTTATATCTAAGCACTTCTTATTACTGTTTTCCATCTACCTTGAGAGTATATACGATCTTTATAATACATGATCTATTCATGTTGATTATACGCTATGCACTACATCGTCGGATTTAGTTACTTGCTTTCCATCTATAGCTATGTGATGTGATAATCCTTTTAAAGTTTATTCAGATTCTTTGCTTCATTTGGTTCAATCGTCTTTCACTTATAAATCTACCACTTATGACCTATCTTCATTCTTCTTCTGTCATGAATACCAAACACATTAAACAAATAGAAATTCCAGATCCATCATACCATAACCACAAAGTCTGCAATATGGAACTCACCAAAACAGAAAATACCATAGCCAAACCCAATTATTAGAATCCCACAAAAATTGCCAAAGTCAATAGAAGTAATCTAAAACTCTTTTTGTTTTTTTTTTTTTTTGAAATCTTATGGATTGGGCAAGTAGATCCATATCTAAAATCACCATAACACGATTTCATAAACCCACAACAGTTTTCGAATAAACTAAATCACAAAGGCGGCGATCATTAATGAGCAAGGTTTCTTATAAAGTAGTTTGTTTTTACGAAATTAAGTTGCAAATTAAGAGCCTAAAAACCCAAAAAATAACCATTTTCCCCAAAAACCAAGATCTGGTAGCTACTCTAGAATCCATAAACCATAAAATTCTTTGTAGTTTAATCTCTCGGGTTCAGAGGAACCTCACCTAGGTCTCTATCCACTTTCAACCATAGCCGAAACAAACATTAATACTTCTCGATTTGTATTTGCGTTTTTAGAAAGCTAATCACAATTTATCGAAAGCAGATCCAGAATATGCATGCACAACCATATTTCCTAATATAATCTGTAAAGTATTTCAAATCCCCCACTAATAATCTAATTTTGAGATTAAATTTCCCTAACCATACTAAACCGAGATTAAGAGAACCTCACCTAGATCCGTCCATTTCCATGACCTGCATCAAAACAAGAGTAGAGGTCAGATCCGAACCAGATCCAAATTAACAAAATAAAAATTACAGAAGCAAAGATCTCACCCTCCATCATCAGCGACCCCTTTTCGTTCCCCTCGCACAAAACCGAAAACCAGAAAAAAAATATCAGAAATCCACACCTTTCAGAAAATCGAACCAAATTCCACATGCAAACCAAAAGTTTACCTAGATCTCCTCGTTCTTTTCTTGTCTGGCTATCGATCATCATCGTCGACGTGGTAAACTCCCATCGCTGGCAACACCGTTCTCCTCCACTCGTCAAATCCCAAAGATAACCAAAAAAAAAAAAAACAAAACGAGAAGGTCATAAACGAATCCAATAAGAAAATTAAAGTCTGATCCTAGAATCAACAAAAACAAGCGTGCATGCAAAGAAAATCTTACCAGAGGGTAAGATTCACCCCTCGTCGTCGTCGTTTTGGCGAGGAAGGTCAAATCGAGATTGGGGTTGAACAGATCGAGAGGCCCCTCTCGGCTTTGGGTCGGATTTCCGCAAAGAAAAACAAGAAAAAGGATTAGAATCTCGAAAACCCTAAAATCAGAATATGAAAATAGTAAAAATTGTACATGCAAAACGAAAAACAAACCTTAAACTTCAAGGGCGTCGTCGTCGTCATTGCCGGCAGCACATGCCTCCCATCGCCGCCGGTGATGGCCTTCTTTGTGTTCTTCGTCACTTCTAGAAACGAGGTGAGGGAGAGAGATAGATCAAATAGAGGAGAGGGCTCGTCCATTCCTCGATCAACCTAACGTGATTACAGTTAAATTATCAAAGTTCCAACGAACGACATGGACTTTGATCCCGTATTACGGGTACGTAAGCAACCGATAAGGTTCGAGTCCAACTAAACTAAATTTTTTATCTTTAAACGAACGTCAGTGGGCGTATAATTAAATCATAAACTAATACGATAAAATTATTTAATGGTTCAGTTGGACCCCAAAAATATAAAATTATTACTAAAAATACACCCAACACATTTAAACTTACCAAACTTAAGTAGTACCGATTTTGGGCGTTGTGGGGGTGTTGCTTAACTTCCCCACACGTAATCGTACTCCCGAACCCATATCTCTAAATCGCAGACCAAGCCTCGGTTCTGACCCTAAGGTTAGAGCCGATTGATGAGTGTTAGAGCCGATCGATGAGTGTTCGATCCACTCCAAGTAAGATCGATAGCGACTCCAAAAAGCGAACGCGACCCCGACCCCGGATGGACGGTTGCGACAATGAGAAAATTGGTGTATTTTAGTTTACATCGTTTGGTTTCTTTGATAGTTATTATAGTACTTAAATAAATTATATTACTTTTTGGGTGAAATGTCACTTTTATCCTTTGTTTTTTGTATATAAAAACAACACACATACGAAGGTAGGGACATAGTTGGAAGAAAAAAAAACTCCAACAATCTCAATCAAAAAATCTCACAAAAACTTGAGATTTAACCATCACTCATTTTGAGTGATAGTTTATGTCAAATCAAGCAAACAATGCATGTATTGTTAGTGCAGAAAATTCAGAACAACAATGCATTATGGAAAATGCATGCATTGTAACTATCGCAATCAAACAATCGCCAAAACCAAATGACCCCTAAATGCTAAAGTAACAGATCTTACGTTTCTACAATAACCTAGAGTATCCCCAGCAACGGCGCCAAAAACTTGACTCGCTAAAACACAACACTAAACTACAACCAAGTGCAATCATAGTCTGGAAATGCAGTATATATAGTGGGACAAGTAATAAAAGTCAAGATTTATTGCTTACTACGTGATTATTTATTATCTAGCAGCAAAGGTGGACTGAAGTGTTCAAAAGCAAGATTAAACAGAAAGCAGTAGATGTTCTGGTTTCCAAGTTCGAGAAAGAACAACTCAGGTAATGATCCCCCCTAGTCTGCAGTTAAGTCGAGTTGTAATTCACCCAGTCCAATTTAATTCAGATTTATACTGCGGAGATCCGGACCTATCTTGGAATCTCTTAAGCTGACCAAGCCCTCTCAAACACGATACCGGGAAGGCCACCGACCTTCAGCGAGATAAAGTGCTAAGGCAATAAAAACATATCTCCTCTATTAGAATGAATTCCAGTACATATCATTGTATCGATTCTCTCGCACAATCGATTCACCACTTCCAAATCAGGATGCTCTATTGACCTATTCAGATTCTATCATTCTAGGTCAAAGATGGAAACATACAAGTGTGATAATGACTCTTAGATTTCTAAATAAAACTTCAATTGGGTATATAATCATTAGTGTACTGAAAAGGGTTCATACAACTTCTCCTAACATGCAAAACTAGAGTTCTTCGTACCCAAGTGGTAGAGAAGAGTTTACTCCATGTAGGGAAGGGAAAACACCAAGCTTGGAAGAGAAATCACCATGGGAATAATGAAAATCTCCTCCAGGCTGGAATGTCTTCAATTCGCTCCAATCCTTGCCCAAGGGTTGTTCTTTGTCACTTCCTCTTTCCAGGGTTCCCTCTAGTTATTTTGAACTAAAAAATCTGGAATATGAACCAACTTACACCAACTGCAGCTTAGAAGACCCGACGACGAAATCCACGGTCGTGGAATTGGAGTTCTGACCGTGGATTTCCCAAAACGCAGTGCCACAATTAGTGGCGATATCCAAAATCCATGGTTGCTTCCTTTAAATCCTCGTTCGTGGAAATGAGACACTAGACCGGGGAATACTCCTGAGCAGAAAGCACAGTTCAACCGTGGAATCCACGGTCTTGGAATTAAGCTTCAAGACCGTGGATTTTGGTATTTTGGCCTCCGATTCCCGTCTACTCTCCAATTGCACCTAGACTTTCCCCTCGGCCTCCCTTTACGTGCCATGACCTAAAAACATCATCGACAAGCACTACCTAACGTAAAATGGGCCAAAAAGCAATCAAGAGCTAAGCCAAACGGTCGAGAAATGTCAGGAAAAACATGTGTAAATATAGTGTCATCACTAAGCCTCATAGTTCATGGACAAACCTGGTCCGGGATGGAACCAAAGAAGGGGATGTTGGGCCTAATAGAATAGCCCATAGGGTGGCGGACCAGGCGAACATGGGTTGGAACGGCCAGAGTCGAACTGAAACCAGGCAGACCAGATTTGGTCGAACTGGATTTGGTCTTATGGGTGTGAATTGAACCAGTTGTTGTTTGATCGCCTTGGCGGGGACTGCATGGTCGAGGAGGTATATTTCTGGTCTTGGGTACGCGGAGGAGCCAGAGGCAGGGGCCGAAAGAAGGTAGAAGGGTCGGTAGTGGGATGTCGGGCAAGGCTCGGGAGTAGGTTGGGTGAATTACTATGAGGAGGAGGATCGTTGGGTTGTTCTTCAGCCACATAGACATGACCCTAAGCGGCCCGACAACCGGAGAAGCCAGTTTAGCGGCTTCAAGAACAGTCGATATGGAGGTAATTGCTATACTCATGGTGGTTATGGTGAACCAGTTTTTAGAGCTCAACCCTCAACCATTGAGTTTTCCAAATTCAATGGGCAAGAGGATGCAGGGTTGTGGATTTATGCTGCTAACAGGTGGTTCAAGAACCATGCCACCTAGGAGGTTTTGAAGGTGCATCCGTCGTCTTTCTATCTAGAGGCAGATGCATTGCAGTGGTGGGAGTGGATCGAGAGATCATATGTTGAGGTGGGTATGGTGGTCTCCTTGGACTGATTCAAAGAGGAGTTGAGGTCTAGTTTGGCAAATCCGAGGGCTGGGCACCCAAGCAGCTGGCCAAGGTGAAGTAGACAAGCACTGTGGTTCATTACAGGTATGATTTTTTGAAGCTTGGCAACATGTGAAAGGGCATTCCGAAGGATACCATGGTGGGGCTATGTATGGCAAGTTAGAAGGTCGAGATTGCAGCTGCAATGAAGGTGTTTGAACTAGAGTCGCTTAGGGTGGCTTTCAAGCTAGATGGAGGAGTGCGACAGGATGCTGGCATAAGACTGAAGGAGGCATGAGTGGAAGTGTCGTCGCTAGTGGTGGGACTTGGACACCAACAGTGGCGGCAACCCCTGCACCACCACCCCCAGCTCGACCAAGACCTCGCTTCCCACTTAAGGGCTTCGTGAAGCTATAACCAGCTGAGATCGGGTAGAAGCGGCAAGAAGGGCACTGTCTCAAATGCAACAACCATTTCACTGTGGTCCATGTCTGTTCAAAACCGGAATTGATGATGCTAGTGGGGCGATGGGAAGATGAAGCTGAAGACTAGGCGGCGGAGGAGGAGAATGCGAAAAAGAAAGAAGGTGATCAACTTTGAGGGCAAGGTTGGTCTTAAAGGGGGTGGAATGTTGGAAATATTGGGGGGTTTTGGGAAAATAATTAGGGATTCGCATTATTGGGGGATTGTCACTGATTTGGGCCTAATGGTACATGTTTTACCCCCATTTTCCTTAGGCGTTTGTGGCAATTTCGCTCCTAAAAGGGTGGTTTTACGCTAGGTTTCTCGAGTTTTAGTGTGTTTCAGAATTTAACAGGTGAAACAAGCCCGGAGTCAAAAGTTTGACGAAAAGGAGCCAAAGCCGAGAGCAGAGGTGAAAAACGGCAAGTTCATGGTTTTCCTTGGATGTTCACGGTCTTGTATGACCGTGAAGAAGAGCCGTTGGCCGTGAACATTGAGGCGTCCAGGGCCAAAATGCAAGTTACTGACGCTAATGGAGTTCATGGTCGCTAAGACCATGAAAAGGAGTTGTTGGTCGTGAACCCGTGGAAGCAAAGCGGTGCGTTTCAGCGCCCATATGGAGTTCACGGACGCGTTTCAGAGTTCATGGTCGTGAACTCAGGCCATGAACTAAGCTAGTTCACTATTTAAAAGCTTAGCTGAAAGGAAGAGAGAGGGGGAGCCCATTGTGTGAGAAAGCTTTCTTCAGATTTTTAAAGAGAGAAACATAAACCAAAGGAGAAGGAGGCTAGGGTTTTGCTCCAAGGTGGGATTTGGGAAGATTCTCCCCAAGAGAAGTTCAACACAAGGATCTAGAACATTGGAAGCCTCACCCAAGATGGTTTCTACCTCTTCTCCTTGTGTTTCTCCCATTTCTAGCATGGAGTAGATTTCTTTTCACTTGGGTGTTGTGAAACCCTAACTAACTACCATGTAGTTTCTTTTATGTGAATTGAATGATTGTCATTGGGTATTGTTTAATTCAATGATTGAGGTATTATTCATGTGATTGTGCATGCTTGTGCTTAGCAATCTAAGGATTGTGCATGTTTTGTGCTTAGCATCCTTAGGTTTGTGCATGTTGGTGCTTAGCAACGTAAGGATTGTGCATAATTGTGCTTAGCATCCTTAGGTTTGTGCATGTTGGTGCTTAGCAATCTAATTAGCCACTTTAGCCTAGATTAGAGATGAAAATCCCCCTTCCAAGGGAGACTCAATCGAGTTGGTTTTCCATTAGATTTTCAAGCCACCTAACTAGGTTAATTTAGGGCAAACCTCAATGTTGAATTAAGCAAATTGGTTAAGCGCGATTAAGCCGTCCAACCCTTGAGTTGAGTGAGGGAGTAAGTCAACCACGGATTGCCTAAACCGAGAGGGCCGAGTGACACGGCCTATAATGTATAGCTCGGTTTAGTAATCGAGAATGTGGTCTACGGCCATATTTGCATCCCTCTGCGGTTCGCGGTTACCTTGCCCATATCAACCATTTCAATTCACATACCATGGTAGTAGTTAGGGGGGAAGCGACACCCGAGTGATCCTTCTCACAAAGAGATTTCAAAA